TCTATCTATCTATCTATCTATCTATCTATCTATCTATCTGTCATTCTGTCTATCTATCTATCTATCTGTCTGTCTGTCTGTCTGTCTGTCTGTCTGTCTGTCTGTCTGTCTGTCTGTCTGTCTGTCTGTCTGTCTGTCTGTCTGTCTGTCTGTCTGTCTGTCTGTCTGTCTGTCTGTCTGTCTGTCTGTCTGTCTGTCTGTCTGTCTGTCTGTCTGTCTGTCTGTCTGTCTATCTGTCTGTCTGTCTGTCTATCTATCTGCCTGTCTGTCTGTCTGTCTATCTATCTATCTGTCTCTCTGTCTGTCTATCTATGTATCTGTCTGTCTGTCTGTCTATCTATCTATCTATCTGTCTGTCTGTCTGTCTGTCTGTCTGTCTATCTATCTGTCTGTCTGTGAAATCATCTATCTGTCTGTCATTCTGTCTATCTGTCTGTCTATCTATCTATCTGTCTGTCTGTCTGTCTATCTATCTATCTATCTATCTGTCTGTCTGTCTGTCTGTCTGTCTATCTATCTATCTATCTATCTATCTGTCTATCTATCTATCATCTATCTGTCTGTCTGTCTGTCTGTCTATCTATATATTTGTCTGTCTATCTATATATCTGTCTGTGTCTGTCTGTCTGTCTGTCTATCAATCTGTCTGTCTGTCTGTCTGTCTGTCTGTCTGTCTGTCTGTCTGTCTGTCTGTCTGTCTGTCTGTCTGTCTGTCTATCTATCTATCTATCTATCTATCTATCTATCTATCTATCTATCTGTCTATCTGTCTGTCTGTCAGACTGGACCTTTGACCTGTGTAAGGTTTCTCAGCAGCTGCAGTTGGCCAATATGACCGATAAAGGGATGGAGGACGAGCATCTGAACCAACTGCTGAATAAAACTCTGCTGGAGAGAGAGACAAAAGAGACGTAATCACCATTTATTCTTACTTCAATCCCAGTGGTTTCTTTTTGCCCCTGTCTCACATCACCGTCTCTCTCTCAGTCTGGAGGAGAGGAAGACGTCGGTTCTGTCTCTGAGGTTTGAGGACTCTGATCTGGAGTCTCGTTACTCAGCAGAGAAGGAGAGACGGACGGGTGTTGCGTTCAGCTGTTGTTGTGTCGTTCTGATCTTCACCTCAGTCATGGAAATTCTCATCGACCCACAGTGAGTGAAGATCATAAATAATTAATCACTAATACTACAACATAATAAATGGATTATTCGTATAATATTTTATTGATATTGACACTTCTCTTGTGTAATGTTGTCATATGTATGCTTGATTTCTGACAGGCTGATTGTGAATTATGTGACTCTAGCTGTTGGTGAGCTGTTACTGCTGATTCTGACTCTGTGTTCACTAGCAGCTATCTTTCCTCGAGTGAGTCCAACATCACAGCAGTAGATTATTGAGTGGATCTCATGACAACATCTCTGAGTCATAATTCACTTCAAAATCCCCCCAAAAAAGAAAGAAAAAAGAATTGATATTTTTCTTAATGAAAATAAAGCCTATTTTTAAACATTTTAGCATTGTGATCCTCCCCATCATTGACAATAATTATTATTGTTATAAGTGATGATTCTCATTAGATTTGAATTCGATTTTTCACTGTAATTTTACTGTACTACTGTAAGAATATATCATAAATTAAAGGCTGTACAATCAATAATAACAAGATTTATACAACTTTACAATTTCAATAATTTTTACATTTCCAAAATTATTTAATTTTTTTTAAAGATTATATCTTCACATTACAGTAATGTGATTTGTTAATTAATATTCTAAAAATAGACTTCATTTAAACATATATTATTATATTAAATATAAATTATTTATATTAAATGTAAATTATTTTTATTTTTATTTTGGAGTTAAATCTCATATTGATATTAGAGAGCAATGTTGTTTTAATATTTTATTTATTTTGATATATTCTATTCATTACTTAGTATATTTCATAGTATATCTTATATATTTAGTATTTTATGTTATTTTATTTATATACAATTAAAGTATTTATTAATATTTTGAATTAGCTTTTGTTTTTATATTTTCACTTTTCATTTTAATTTTCATTTAAGTTTTAGTAATTTTGCTATGTCATTTTCATTTTTTTTATATTGCTATTTAGCTAGCTTGAATTTATTTTCATTCCAGTTTATATTAGTTTTAGTCATTTTAGTACTTTAATTTAATTTTAAGTTTTTAAGTTTTTTATCTAATATTTATATTTTATTTTATTTTATTTCAACTTTCAATGAACAAAAACTACATTGAATCATTTTAGTTTTTGTTAACAATAGCAACGCTGTGTGAGAGAGCAAGACCGTCTGTGTAACATCGTGATGTGTGTGTATCAGGTCTTCCCCCAGAGGCTGGTGTCTTTCTCACAGTGGATCGACCGCACACGCTGGGCTCGTAACACATGGGCCATGGCTGCCATATTTGTTCTGACCATGGCTGAGGTGGCCGATATGGTGAGACAGCACGCATTTCATTACTGATTCATTACATTTCAGTTATTATTACTGACCATGTAAATCATTCTGTTGCAGCCTGACTTCTAATGCTGTTATATTGCATTTTCCAAGTATCATTTTGTAAATTCAGACTTTTAAAGATTAAAACCTTTTTCTCGTCTATTTCTTCAGCTGAGCTGTATTCGGCCCCCTCTCGTGCTGCTGAACTCCTCGTCCGGCGTGACGCTCGAGTCTCTGGGTGACGGCGGATGCGCTGAGAACCCCAAACACTACGGATACATATCAGTGCTGTCGCTCGTGGCAACCGTCATGCTCGTACAGCTCAGCCATGTGGTCAAGCTGGCGCTTATGCTGTTGGTTACCATAGCAACAGGTGCCGTAAACATCCACAGCTGGATGTACATTTACGACATCTACGATTTCATTCGCTACCTGGACTACAGGTGAGACAAGCTTCAGTTCGCGTTCAGACGTACTTGGACGATATGTATAAAAAGCGATCAAAAATAGAGTAAAATCAGGAATGATGTAAAATATTATAAAAATTTAAAATAACTCTTTTCTATTTGAATATATTTTAAAATGTCATGTATTCCAGTGATGCAAAGCTGAATTTACTCCAGTCTTCAGTGTCACATGATCCTTCAGAAATCATTCTAATATGCTGATTTGCTGCTCAAGAAACATTTCTTATTATTATCAGTGTTGAAAACAGTTTTTGTAACATTGACTTAATTTAAATACAGAACAGAGTATTTTTTACCCAGTTAAACTGAAAGTTGTGCTTCAGACCGCTCACAAAAATTGTCTGACACCTGTAATTATTTTCCATTATTTTCTGTGACTCTTCAGTTATTCAGTGGTTCCCACCAGATATCTGCTGACTGTGATGATTATCATCATGATGATGAGTTTCTACTACTTTGCACGTCACGTATGTCCAACAATAGCTTAAAAACTCACATTTATGTCCTCTACTCTGTTTTGGGCAAATATTAGCATGTTAATTCTAATTTTGTTCTTCTCTCTCAGGTGGAAAGACAGTCGCGTAAACTGTTTCTGTGGAAGATTGAGGTTCACGATCAGAAGGAGAAAGTGTATGAAATGAGAACGTACAACGAGGCGCTGGTCACTAACATGCTTCCTGAACACGTGGCCAAACACTTCCTGGGCTCCAAGATGCGAGATGAGGTATGTACAGTATGGAAGCTTGTTTCTGCCATGGAGTAACAATTTTATCTTCAGGATTGTGAGTTTATATCTATTTATAATTATAGCTTTTCTTATATATCTTGCAATTCTGCTTTTTTTCAATTTTCATTTTTCAATTTTGACTTTTTTTCTTCAGAATTCTGAACTTACCTCTTTCATTTGGACTTTTTTCTCATAATTCAAAGTTTACATCTTGTAATTCTGACTTTTTTCTCAGAATTCTGAGTTTGCGTCTCACAATTCCGACTTTTTTTCTTGGAATTTTGAGCTTACATCTCGTAAATTTTCTCAGAATTCAAAATTTATAACTCGCAGTTTTGACTTTTTCCCTCTAAATTCTAAGCTTACATATCGTAATTCTGATTTTTTTTTTCAATTGCACGTTTATATCAGTTTATAGCTTTTCTTATATCTCATGCTTCTGACTTTTCCCCTCAGAATTCTAAGTGTACATCTTGCATTTTTACATTTTTCTCTTAATTCAAAGTTTACATCTCACAGTTTTGACCTTTTTATTCAGAATTCTAAGTTTACATCTCATTGTTACTTTTTTGTCAGAATTTAAAGTTTGCATCTTGCAATTTTGACTTTTTTTCTCAGATTCTGCGTTTGCATCTCACAATTTTGACTTTTTTTTTACTCAGAATTCTTGTAATTTTGACTTTTTTTCTCAGAATTATGTTTACATCTCTTAATTGTGACTTTTTTTCTCAGAATTCTGCGTTTACATCTCACAATTTTGACTTTTTTTCTCAGAATTCTGTGTTTGCAACTTGCAATTTTGGCTTTTTTTGTTTCTTGCTATTCTGATACCACGGAATAATAAATAAGTAAGGTCATTGCAACTTTTTATCTGACAATTCTGACTATTTTCTCGCAATCTTCTCGATTTTATATCTTACAGTTACGGAGCCCCGCACATGGCATGCAGGAAAAAAATAGTAGGCTAAATTGTGTGCACGATTTACAATTTCGTTCCCTCGATTTATAAATTGTGCGCACGATTTACTAATTAGTTCCCGCGATTTGCTAAACCGTGCACACGATTTATAAATCGAGAGAACGAATTAGTAAATTGTGCGCACGATTTAGCAAATCGAGGGAACGAATTAGCAAACCGAGGGAACGAATTAGTAAATCGTGCTCACGATTTATTTATTTTTTCTTGCATGTCATGTGCAGGGCTCCGTATATAGTTCAGATGCTTTTTGGAATTGCAAGTAAAAAAAAAAAAAATCAGAATTAAGAGTTGCAATTACCTTTTTTTTTAATCCCGTGGTGGAAACAATTCCTGTCTATTCCTGTCAGAGTAATCTTTAAATTAGTTTGGTCCTTAATAAATGTGCATATTGATGTTTATTTGTTTACTGCAGGAACTTTACAGTCAGTCGTATGATGAGATCGGCGTGATGTTCGCCTCTATTCCCAACTTCTCTGACTTTTACACGGAGGAGGGTATAAACAATGGAGGGATAGAATGCCTCCGAATCCTGAATGAGATAATCTCTGACTTTGACAGTGTGAGTGTCTCCTTGTCCTTTATTTCTTGTATACGTCATCATTTGTTCAGCAGAAGTTCTCTTTAAAATCATATGATGTGTTTTTTCATCCGGAGTAGCTTCTGGATCGCACAGAGTTTCGCCACATTACGAAGATCAAGACCATCGGCAGCACATACATGGCTGCATCAGGCGTGACGCCGGAGAGCAACACTAACGGATACGCTGACCGCAAGGTCAGCTGCACAACACATGCTAACACGTAATACTTACACTGATGTAGTCTGTGTTACTGATTTTGTGTTTGTGATACAGATAGAGGATCAGTCCATCCTGGAGCGCTGGCAACACTTCGCTGATTTGGCAGACTTTGCACTGGCTATGAAAGTCACACTTGGAAACCTAAACAAACAGTCGTTCAATAACTTCATGCTGCGCATAGGTCAGCAAACATCTGACTGTGCTACAGACCTATGTTACTTCTGCTTATATATCAATATAGTTGAGTATGTTATATTTATGGTTTTTTGACCATGTTGTTTGTGTGTGTTTTATTGTCAGGTCTGAATAAGGGGGGGGTGTTAGCTGGAGTGATTGGCGCTCGCAAACCTCATTTCGATATTTGGGGAAACACTGTAAATGTGGCCAGTCGTATGGAGTCCACTGGGGTTATGGGTAACATTCAGGTGATATAAGCTGTATTTATGTATTTAAAAAACATAACTTCCCAGTATTATCTCAATATGTTTCATATTTTTCATCCATTCAATATTTTAAGTTTTAAATATTAAGCTTTTTGACAAATATTTTCCACACTGTTTTTCTCTAAAACAAAGGAAAGATGATATTTAATGATTATTTAATCATCATTATTTATATGCCGAGCCAATATAAAAATATATAGTAAAAAACTATTTTCCTTTTTAAATTCAATATTTATACAATATTATAGAAAATATATAAATGTATATTTTAATTAACCATGAAATTATAGAGAATAAGTGGTTTGGAGAGTAGATGGATGTATATTTTAAATATATAAAATGACATATACTTCTAAAATAATTATATTATAGAATATATATAATTATATATCTTCTATAATAATTATATTTTATTATATACTATATAAATATATAATTGTTATTAATATACATTTTGTATTTGTATTAAACAAATTAATTAATTACATAATTAATGTATTATGTTTAATAAATACATTACATAATTTACATAAATAGAATAAATCAAATCAAATCAAATAAAACCTGAAGACCTCCTTGAACATTTTTGAATCATGATGCCCATGAATCTTTTAATCAATTTTGAATTGAACTTCAAACCTCTAATGCAATTTTTGCAACAGAAATGTAATTTGAGATGCTATCAAAACATCTCTGTCCTAATGCTCTAATACTTATGAGACCATGTAATGATGCAAAAATATCTTAATTGCACTGATACAGACGTCTGTGTTTTTCTGGTGCTGGTGCTCCCCAGGTGGTGGAGGACTGCTATAACATCCTGAAGGAGTACGGTTTCCGTTTCGTCAGAAGAGGACCCATCTATGTAAAAGGGAAAGGAGAACTGCTCACTTTCTTTATGAAGGGCAAAGACAAACCTGTCACAAAGACGACCGCGGTCTCTCTCCCACATCAAATACCAGACAAATCCTGAGAAGACTGAGGATGAGAAGGACATTGACATTTTATTTTATGTTATTTTGGGCCTTTTCCACTTTTTATTAATAGAAACAATGGAAAAGGGACAAAGGGGAGACTCCCCAATGAGCACTACAGCTCAACAAGTCTGCAGCACATGCACTACCCAATAGACAACAACTCTGAAAAATTACACATTACAAACAACAGCCAAAGGTTGTATTAACTGAACATTTTCTATTGTTTGTTTTATTTTAAAAACACATGTTCCATCATTGATACAGATCGAACATACACCATCTGGTCTACTGCATGCTTTATACACTTTCCGTTTATAAAAATGCTGATAGAATGTATGCATCCATGGATGAGGTTACAGTAAACTATGAATTTACATTTGTAATCATTGAAAATGTTATTGTTGGCTATATCAAGCCCATAAAAAGTATAAAGTAGACCATGATGAAAATATTATTATAATTAGTGGACACAAACAAACACAATCAGGAGCTAAAAACACTACTCAAATTCTGTCAGATCAAAGACACACACATCTTTTTTAAACAGCATGAAAAATGTTGTATATCATTCATAATTGTATATTCTATTATGGCAGCATCAACAGAAGACAGTTTGTATTCTATATTTTTATTTTTCATAAAGCTTTACCCGAGAACATCACACTGAGACAATATTCTAATTGACATATAGTCCGAATGTTTTTTTGTTGTTGTTGTTTTTTTTTTACTCAGTGGCATTTTTAATAATCACCATCTTCAGCTGACTGATATTTAATGCTTTTTTATAAACTCACATTTCACTCATGACATTCAGTTTGTTTCATGTATAGGCTACTCTTTGAAACTCTTGGTTATAGATCAGATATGTCTCTCAGAATGTGTGGATTTTTGTAGATTGTGGATTTAGCAGCTCTTTATGCTGTTCTCAGTGTTTTATTGTTTGACAGAATGAGAAAAATGATTTAATGACTAAAAGGGCACATTAAAAAGCCAATAAAAACCTAAAAAGGTACATTAAACAGACAGATTTTAGTAGCTTCTTGTTGAATTTTTAATAATCAACAAAAGTCTAGTAACCAGTAGTCTATTAAACAAGTCTAGTGATTAATGTAATCTAGTGAAAGTCTAGTGAAAAATGTAGAAACACTTGACATTTGAAGGTTAGAAATCTTGTGTAATTTGAAAACTTGTTGACAAAAGGTTTTAGCATTATGTAGACTGGATATTTGATAGTCTGAAGAAATATTTTAAGATGATAGATAGATAGATAGATAGATTATCATAATAAGGAAGATAGTAATAATTACCTTAACAGTAATAAGGAAAGTGTTGTAAGGGCTATTGTCAACCGTAAACAAGTTTATAGATTTTTAATATATCCAGTGCTCTGATAATCTGTTAAAGTCACTATAAATATAAAGTCACTATAAATATTATTGATGAATTATTAGTCTGTGGTAAGTTTCTGCGTGCGCCCCCTTTTGGCGGGAGCGCCGTCCGGAAGTGAGGCAGCAGGGGAATGTCCTGTGACGTCAGCGCGCCTGGACGCCATTAGATCTGCAGCTGTTTGGAGAGAAACAACAACAACACGAACGAACGAACGAGCCTCGCACGGAACGTGCTCTGGACCGCGGGAGCCCAACGCCTCTTTCCCCTCCCCCGGGCTTCACCGGCTTCTAACCACGGCCGCTCTCGGTGAGGAAACTCTGGCCTCCGCTTCCTCCTCCTCCGACTCGGACACCGGCGGAGCGTCGCCGCCCCCGCGGAAGAAGCACCGATCCTCGGCGGCGGAGGGAGTAGGAGAGCCCGGGGCTTCAGCGGGCCTTCCGTCAGCGACCCACCTGAGCCGAACCGGCACCAACATGCAGTCGAACGGGACCGGACAGGAGCAGAACCACCCGGCCAGCGCGCAGAACGGAGATGCCAACGGCCTCCAGAGCAACGCAGACTCTGCTTCGGGGGCCTCCGGGACTGGTTCGGGTTCCCTGAAGAAGAAGAAGCGTCTGTCTCAGGCGGAGGAGGACGTGATCCGCCTCATCGGACAGCATCTCCACAGCTTAGGGCTGAAGTAAGTGTCGCGGTACTCAACCGGACCGAGTCGGTTCTAGTTCGACAGATCGCAGATTTTGCAGCCGTTATGTGATCAACGAAGCGAGCTCGCGACGTCGAGATTTAAAAATCGCGTTCAGTGACAGTCAAAACTTTTATTCTCCGTAAAAATTAGATACAAATATCCATAATTTAATCTAGAATATCAGACAGAGATGCACACAAAAAGAGATGCGATCACAGATGACAGCTGTACGTATGTGTCAAGTATTTGCTGGGCCCAGAACATATTTTAGCTTTAATAAGTGTCAAAAGTAACGTACAGATGAATTCATTAGAAGTCAACATCCCTTCGCTGGTTTATTACATATGTGTGTTTACGCATTATCAAATCATTATGACATTTTGTGTGTGGTTGTCTTTTAATGGCGGCTGTGGAATGTGTGTGTAGCAGCAGCTGGTTTACATTAGAAAGAAGCTTGAATCTAATTTTAGTGAAGATCTGCTAAAGCCATCAGCTGCTATTCAGATTCAAACCACAAAACATGAATCCAGAACGATCACAATCCATATACGCGTGCTTGAACAACACACAACTGCAGATCTAGACTACAAGATGTACCAAAAGCATCAAGAAAACTGAAAACATCCATCCCCTCCCCCTCACACACACACACACACACACTGTCTCTTTTGTAATCATAGCATGACGTCATTCTGTCAGACCCTGCATTCAAAACACTTTCACTCTGTTCTAGAAGCCTTCACCTGCCTGTAGCATCCCAATCACTGCCATCATTTTTATCTGCATGTTTGAGCTTGTCTGTGTTATTCTGTCTTTGTTCAGCTAAAAATATATGTTCATAAATGTGAAATTGTGAATATAGGGCCACTACATGCCATAATAAAGGAATATGACACACATAAGAGTACTGATATCAGCTTGGATGTGGCCGAGTGATGCAGGTACATACAAAATCCCCCAGAACCCCTTCATCTTGTGATTATTTTCATAATATAGCAAGGCCTGAGTGTGTTATTTCTTTTATGAAACAGTTAATACATATGCTAGGAACTCAATGGTTGATAGTTGGCCTTTTAACTTTCTTTGTATGTCAGATGGGATGCAAGCTTTACAAGCAAGTTCTTGAGCTGCTTGTTGTTGTTTTACTCAAAGATGGCAAATAGAAATAATCAAGCTTCAGTTACTGTTTTCGCTAAAGGTCAGATAAATAAGTGTTGAATGCACTGTAATGCATTGTCTCTTTCCAGTCAGACGGTGGATTTGTTGATGCAGGAATCTGGCTGTAGACTGGAGCATCCGTCAGCCACTAAATTCCGGAACCACGTCATGGAAGGCGAATGGGACAAGGTGAGCTTATGCCACACTTCGTATGTAATGTCGTGATTTTGATGGTTTATGTCTTAGGCTATCTGGAGAGACGGTCACTTTTATCCTGGTTTGGTCAAAGTTGACACAATTTCATGCCCAGTACTTTCTTAATTACGTTCCTTGGTTTTGTTTTGCATGATGTATCAGCACATACTAAAGAAAATTGAGTCTTTTTTTGGGGGGCTGATATTTCAACCAAACTTTCCTATTCTTATGAAAAGTGTTTTAATTTTTTTGGATCTTATTGGCAGGTTTGACGAAGTGAGGCCGGATTTAATTTTAGATATTTTTTAATCAAAGATCATTTTTACCAAACATTTTTTTATTTATGTTTTACTTATTTACTTTGTCTATTTTTTACTTGTGGTAGTTGTCATGGCGCTAAATAAAATAATAATAATAATAATAAACAAACAACCATTTTTCACCAATCCAGTCACTTCCTAGTGGATAAAGTGGCTACTTTTTCCTCATTAAATATCTTACTACACTTGGAAATATTCACATTATTGAAGTACAATAAACAGGGCACTATGAAATCCATATTATCCCCCAAATTTCATTTAGTTTTTCCCCCCAAATTCTGTTTAACATTTTAATTTTTCAAATTTCATTTTAATGGTTTAAATACATTTTAATTATCAAAAAGGATGCCTAATCAATTGAATTAATAAAACATTATCAATTCAATAATTTATTATATTTTAACACTAATAGTTCCATATAAAATGTTTTATTTTCCCATAAGTTCTGCATTTAAATTTTTATTTATTTAAATTTTTTGTATAATAAAATACAAATTGTATCAAATATGGTGGTAATCAAATGAATATAAAACTTTTACAATTTAGGCTAATTCATCCTTTGAAATAAAATCAAATTAAATTTGAACAATTCCTTTCATTTTTTGGCAAACAAAGTGGTGCCCAACAGAGGTTTACGGTTTAAATTAAAACATCAGAGAAATTGTGATATTCCTTAAAAATACTGTTTTAATAATACCGTTGTGGAAAGCATAGGGTTCTAAATGAGTTGTGAATGCTGTGTCATGTTTACTAAGGTCTGATCATGCTGAGTGATGGGTGAACTGTAGGTCAAAGGTCATGTAGATGTGTATAGATATGAGGGGACGGTGAAAGGTCGTTATAAAAAAACTTAATTCCTTCTGGTTTTGCATGCATAGAGTTTTATTCTTGTCTCTGGAAAAGCTTTGCCAAGACTATATCTTAAAAATGTAGATCCTTTAATGCAGCAGTTCTAACCACATTCTCTAACCACAAGTGTGATTTTTCAGAACATGATTGCAGGTCTTTCCTTTTCCTGTTCACTTCATAACTAAATTGAAAGAAAAGAGTCTGGGGCCATTTGAAAAGTGGACTCATATTTGGACTGCAGTGTAGTTTAAATTGGTGGAAATAAAAACAATCCAGTTATTTTATATTTTATACAGGAAGAAGCAAGTTTATTTGACCACCTCTCACCTGAATTTCGGAGAGTTTGGACTATTAAAACCAAGCTCTTCTAAGATGTCAGGCAGAAACAACAATCATGCTCAACCTTTAGGAAAATGCTTTTCAGAGCTCATGGTGGGATAAGACAAACTCTAGAAATAGTTTGCACATTTAATCGACAGTGCTTCTGTCTTGAGGAGCTGTTTGGACCGCTGAAGCAGCCGTTTCCGATGGGGTTTTGGGTTTACTTTTACTT